TGAGTAGCCCGGATAGGAGGGGGTTAACTAAGCAACAGCTGAACAGCAGGAGCAGGTCCTGAGTTAAGAGATCACTCGTGCAGCTGTGCTGGTCAGGACCAGGCTAATATAAATGCACCCACAGTGTGGGAGCATCTCCATTAATTGTGCCTAGCCCCAGGGATGGGTTAAGCCAGGCCTGGCTATGACGACACGTTCGCCTCCCCCTCTGGCAGTTCCCTCTCACTCCCTCCCTTGTGCTGGGGACCAGAAGGGGGGGCAGGGGAACCAGGCTCTCAGGCCAGGAGCTGTATTGTGGCTGGCAGTGGGGAACAACAGAGCCCCACAAACAAAAGGCACAACAGCGCCACCTTGTGGACTTGGGCTACAATCCTTCCCTCCATGCAGTTGCTAATACAGATCGCAGTGGGAGTTTTGCACACATCAAGGAAACATCAGTCCATTTACCTCTTGTTAAATATCAGTGAATTGTGATCCTCAGCAGGTTCTTTTAACTCACAAGCAAGGTCCTAAGTGGCTGTTGTCTAACTGATCTGCCCTCTCCCTCCTCAGTGGTGAAATTCCCCACTGTGCAGAGAGACCTTTGCAACAGTTAAATCTCTCTTAAGACCTATTTTAAAGGGTTGAGAAGGGGATAAATAGTGCCTAGGTCTCGTGCTGGCTCTGCACTGGAGTGAATTTCACTCTGTAATCCCAGGCAAAGATTAGCGAAATCAGCCGGTGTGGGGAAGGCTAGGGAGGTAGAAGGGACAGCAGCTGTGGCAGGAAGGAGACGAGAAAACTGACCAGTCCTTGTTTTCTACCTCGTTCCATGATCTGATGCATGTTTCATTCCGGGGGGGGGGGGGCCCTTTCAGTGCTTAGTAATGCCATCCCTGTGTGCAGAGTTGTACAGTGCTGTGGGACCCTTTGGAAAGAAATGTCCCATATTTATGTAATACTACACGGTACACGTTATCCAAAGCCGCCTAAGCACAACACACCCTTTACAGAATGATTACAAGCGAAGTGTTACCAAGTGACATAGGGATCATTTTGCCTGCCACTGAAATGCAGCCACCTCTGGGGTGGAACACAGCAGCTCTTCAACAGCACACATCAACAATGCACAACTGTTCAGGGCAGGCAGGGAAGAATACTGCACCCAGTTAAATGACAAGGAAATATTCAGCTAGGAAACTGACAACGGGCTGGGGAAAGTCTAACGTTAGCGGCTGAACGCCAGTCTCCCAGATCACAGGCATTCGTGCGGTTACACCCCGTCCCAACTCTCCCTGCTCTGATGGTTTAAAGCATTAGAAACACTGGGCTACATTGTGCACAGGTGAGACGTGGGCCCTCAGGCGACTTTCCCCATCCCTTGGGACCCTGCACAGGGCCCAGCCCTAGGCAGGTTGGTGAATGCACAGACTGTGCTACTGCAATGCCAACACTGGCATGAGGCACCCCCCTAAGAGGGCGAAAGTGCGGTCAGGGCTCCTCCCCTCTCCCCCAATGTGCTGGCAGGCTGGCCAGGAAGAACCATGCTGCTCCTGGCTGAAGCCCTCCTGGAGCTGTGGGAGGCTGCGCTGGTGCAGGGGTGGGACAGAACTGACAAGGAATCACGTGAAGGCTCAGCCCCAGAAACCTCAGCTCAGAGACCAGCCTTTGCAGGTCCCAGCATTTGCAAAAGGCGAAGAGCAGCAGGTGCAAAGGGGGCCAGCCTCTGCCCGAGCAGGGCCCCTGGCAGCTCTGAATTGCCAAAGGCATCTCACAGGGACATTTATTTTCAGCGCTTCCACCATGGACGTGCACACACGGCTCTCCGGCCACGACTGTGTGGGCCTTGTGAGGAGGGATGGCGCCTCTGGGGTGAATTAGGAAGCTTGAGTCCCTCTTCTGGAGGGGGGCTGAGGATGTGCCCAAGCCCATTGTTCTCAGGAGTGGGAGAAGTCTCCCCTGCAGGCCCAGGGGTGAGGAGGAGTGTGGTTTTAGGCACAGCTGCTCCCTTCTGTTTCCTCCTTTCCCACTCGTCCCATAAAGGGCTGGCCAGCCAGTCTGCTAGAGGAGGTTAGTGCCTGATCCCAGCAGCCTCCTTCCCTTCCTGCAGGCAGAGTTCTGAGAGTGGCCATAAAGCCCCAGCTCCAACTCCCACAGAGCTGTCCCCCTCTAGCAGCAGCCCCCTACCCAACCTTCTGCCCTCCACCAGGCCCTTCCAGCATCAATTCTGGAGGCTCGGTGGTAGTAACAATGCTGCAGAATATAGCACTGCACAGATTCAGAGGCTCCACTGGTGGCCTCTCCCGCCCCTCGAGCAGCTCAGAATTAGGGCACAAAAGGGGAGCACGGAACAGAATCTCACACATCATGTGGGGGCAGGGATCCATTGCCATTGGAATGCTGCTTGTCTGGCGTGAGAAAAGGAGTAACCTTCAGCCACCGCAGCTCACACGACTCCCTCTTACCCGGACCTGATCCACGGAACGTGTGTTCTCCAGCACGTCTGTCTGTGCCGTGGCCGACTGTCTTTCAGGAGGAGAAGAGTTCTAGGGCCTGGAAAGCAACACCCTGACACCATGTAGCTAGTGGCCAGGTACACCGTGTAAGGGTTTGCTCTCAGATGAGAAGGATGCTTCCCAAATATAGTCCTCCCCGCACACTCCCTTTCCCTGTTGAGTGAATGTTTATTAGTGTAATCGGGTGCGCATGCCGGTAGCTGTTTACTGACTTCCCCTTAAGATCACGCCCATGACTTGGCTTGAATTAAAAGCTGGCAGAGAAATCAATTTGAAATGGAAGTTTATTGAAAAGAATCTAAAACGGAATAACCCAATCCATACAGTAGCCCTTGGGTTTGAGAAAGGGTTTTGGAAGACCACGATATTTGGAACTGAGGGTGTTCAAATAAAATATATGCAATTTATTTATAGAAGGTACAATCTCTACGATTTTGGCTTTTTTTTTTTTTTTACTGCATGTTTGGACTGCTCTTTGATCTGGTACAGCATGACACTTGGATGCTTTTGGTATACAAAGACATTCTCCCAGCCCATTTTAACACATACACGCCACAAAGTTTTAAGTAATAAAGTGCAATACTGGATTCTTTGTGAGGAATGAAATAATTGATGGAAATAGCAGGCATTAAATCAAAGACAGCTCCTAGACCAACTAGGCTGACTGTAAAGTGCTGATCTGTCCCCCCAAAATCAAACAAAACTAATTTAATTAAAAACTTCTTTTCATTTTACTGAAGCGGAAAAGACAGCAACATTTACAATGGAATGTCAATAACTCCCCTCCCAAATCTGCTTTAAAAATAAAAGAGATCCAAATAAATGATGTAAGAAAAGATTCTTCCGTGGAGGGGGAATAAAGCCTACGTCTATCATTTTGTTTCTTAAGAGAAAGAAAAACTGACCTAAAAGGATTACAAATATTAAGACATTTTGGTCCTGATACAATATGATGAAATTAAAAAGGCTGTAAAAACTCATCTGTCCTGTCATTATGGCTTGCTTGCCTATAAGAAATAAACAAGATAGTTTGTGTATTGTGTGACTCCCTAGGAGCTAGTTCAGTGGTCCCCAAACTTTCTCAATTGCATCTCCCTCTCCCCCCCCCTCGGCGGGACAGGAGGTGAGTGGGGCAGGACAGGGGAAAGGGAGCTGTGCTCCAGAGGCGGG